GGAGGAAGTGTCGCCATGGCATTCTCAAGAAGAAGAATGAATGTGTGGCTTTCTCTGGACTGTGACTTCTAGAGGTTCTCCCCATCTGTAAGGATCCCTGCCAAAAGATATCAGAAGGAAAAAAGGAGAAAAGTCAACAAGAGAGAACTGGAAAACAAGACTTTACTCTCAGGAATCAAACCACCTGGCTACACTGAGCTCAACCATGAAGGTTTTCATTCATTTATTTACTTACCTCATTTCAGTAAGTGCTTAGGGGCCAGGCCCTGTTTCCAGTGCTTTCCACACAATAGCTCACTTTCTCCTCCTGGCACTCTTAAGAAGCAGCTGCTGTTAGCTGTTCTATTTTATAGATGAAAAGTTACAATGTTCTCATCTTCTACAAGATCTTAAGAGAGTTTGTTGAAGCTTCTGTTCCCCTCAACAAAATAGGGATGATACATTATGGCCTCTGCCCCATAAGGTTGCTATGAACATTAGATAAACTAGTCTACACAGTATTCTTAGGAAAGTGCTTAAAACGAAGTAAACTTTGTATTAAATCCAAAGCAACCTGCTGCACAACTGGAATGGTAAGACATGGACTCAAAAACAACCAACAGTACAGAGCCAGGCTAAGTGGTGCCAAGTAACCTCAGTATTTTATAGACTGACATGAGAGGGTCGTAAGTTCAAACCCAGCCTGGGCTGTGGCAAAACCCTGCTTCAGAACAAGAGGTGTGTGTGTGTGGACTAACAAGATGCTCTTGCTGCACAGTCATGAAGACCTGCACTTAGATTCCTGAGGCCACAGAAAGAGCCAGGCCGAGGAGGCCGTGTGTGCAGCTTCCTGGTACAGAAAGCTTGAGTTAGGTCCATGTTTCTGTTATGGTAACTCTCTCTTCCCCTGCCGACACAAACACCATTATCCTCAGGCTTTGTCTATCTAGACATGCCTTGGCCCACCTCAGCGTCTCCACATCTGACTGTACCCCTCCAATCAAGACATTCCATTCACCTTAAGCTAAGGCACCTCCCCAACGAAGACAATTGACCAGAGATGGGGGCTGTAAGGCTGGAGGATTTTCCCTTAAGAGAGACGTGGTTAAGCTATTCTCTAATAGCCCTGGGGTCCTGGCAAAGTCACCCCACATTCTCCATGGTGGGGGTAGGTGATGGACTGTATTTTGGAAAGCACCAGTAGGTCTTGTAGCTACCGAGAGGAAACAAGAGCCTCCTCCCTTTCAGAACAGGAACAACTTTCAGAACAGAAACCTTTCTCTGGGATAAGAGCAGTTCTACACAACTGTCCAGCCAACCTATACCCACTTCCCTCTCTGGGGATGGAGCTGTGCTCTCAGCTTCAAGGAGTTCACATCATCGGCACTGTTTGTGGTCAAATGGATTCTCCATCCTCTTTCTCTTCGGAATCAGTCAGCTCCTTAGGCAGTCTTATTTTTAATTCATTGTATTTCACCCCTCAATGCTCTCTTCCTTAAATCCCTAGCATTTGACAGTACTTTTCCCCATCTGGGTAGTACTTCCTGCTTTGGCCTAAGCCTGGCAACCCCTGGTCTGTGTAGAGGACAAGAAAGATGGATGAATCAGCCTGGGTGTCTTGCATTTCAACCTTGGGTTCTTGGCTCTCAGGGTTACAGATGGATGACTCTGGTAGAGCTGAACAACCAGAAGGCTCACCACAGTGGGGAGGGAATAGATCATATTGTCCTCTGGGATGGTTTGTAAATACTTGGCCCAGGGAGTGGCACTATTAGAGGGTGTAGCCCTGTTGGGGTAGATGTGGCCTTGTTGGAGTAGGTGTGTCATTGTGGGTGTGGGCTTTAAGACCCTTGTCCTAGCTGTCTGGAAACCAGTCTTCTAGCAGCCTTCAGATGAAGATGTAGAACTCTCAGCTCCTCCTGCTCCATGCCTGCCTGGATGCTGCCATGTTCCCACTTTGATGGTAATGGACTGAACCTCTGAACCTGTAAATCAGCCCCAGTTAAATGTTGTCCTTTATAAGACTTGCATTGGTCATGGTGTCTTTTCACAGCAGTAAAACCCTAACTAAGACATCCTCCAAAATGTAAAATGGATTGCCTCTCCAGAACAATGTGGCCTCTGGGCCAGTAAGAGCCAGGGAACCTCATCATGTGATCTCTGGGTTCTACTAGAGGAGCCTGAAGACAATGAGCTCTGGAACTGAGCCTGAGTGTGTTCCATCAGCATTGCAGTTGAGAGCTGTGTTTCTACTTCAGTTTGCCTCAGCCCAATGTCATGCACACTCCTTTCAACTAAACTTTGATTTGTTCTATAGTAACTCTGGGCCAGCAATAGTCATGAGACCTTCCTACTGCCCATCACTGCTGTTTGCACCAAACTGAATGTCTGTGTGTGGATGTGTGCACATGTGTGCTGTGTGTGGATGTGTGCACATGTGTGCTGTATGTGGATGAGTGCACATGTCTGTGGGAGTGCACGTGTCCATGTTCCCTGTGTGGAGACTAGAGGAGGATTTGTGGAGTCCTGTTCTCACCCTTTGCCTTATCCTCTTGAGACAGGGCCTCTCATTAAACCTGGAAGCTTGCCACTTTTTGACTAGATTAAATGGCTGCCAAGCCCTAGCAAACCTCCTGTTTCTACCCACCAGAGCTGGGGCTATGGGTATTCAGGGTCGTGCCAGGCTCTATATGGGTGATGAGGGTCAGGGCGTAGGCTGCCATGTTTGTGCAGCAGTCTTAACCTGAAAGCCATCTCCGCAGTTCCCAGGCTGAAACTTTAATGAAATTTACTGTCTCTTGATGTGCTCTGTGTGGGAATGAAAGCAATGCAAATCAAGAGGACCTCTGTACATTGCAAGCACCTTTGGCACAGGGGCCATAACCAGAAGAACAACGAACCCAGAACAGTTTTAAGTCACTTCTTTGGTGGCTGGTACTAAAGTCCCTCTTCTCATGGGGCTTCAGGAACTCCAGTGCACTCCCTTACTTCGTGTGACTACAGAGCTGCGGACTGTCTCCTCAGACATGCTCCCAGCACAGCTTTCTGAGATGACATGCTTGCTGTGCACAGCAGCAGCCGCTTGCCCCATTTGTCTTCCTTCCAGAGTATTTGGGCTCCCAGGAAGCCACCAGTCTCCGGTGTCTATGCCTACTAAGAGTACTGGCCACACTCCTGGGAGCTGCTCTCTGCAGTCACAGTCAACCCTCTGTCTCTGTAGGTCTCTCCTTCAGCACTGTTTTTAAAGCTGGGAATAACCTCTTCAGCTTCCCTCTCTAGCTTCCCTTTGGAGGGCTTTTCTTTCCCATCAGCTCATGTCCTGCCCAGCCTTGAGTCGCCCACACATGGCCCTTGTGAGATGCCCTTGGCTGCCCAGGACACTTCCATTTCTACTGCTTAGCAATGCGGATCTGAACTTAGCCTGCCCGTGGAATGGGACTTTTCTTTGGTTTGTTATGACCTTGAAAAGGCTGGAAGGAAGAAATAAGGACCAAGTGGATGTTTGTTTTGTTTTTATTTTGGGGTGTGTGTCATACTCATTACCTTACAGTGAACCCAGAAAGTATTATTTACTCTATTTTACAGATTAGAAAACAGAGATCAACTAACTTGAACAAAATCTCTAAACTAGATGACAGAGATGCTAATATCCTCTTAGTGTAAAAGTTAATGAGAAAAATTTAACATTTCAGTTCTTAAAAAGAAAAAAAAGAAAAGAGAAAGCTACACGTAGCACCCTTGCAATTAGCAGAATGACTTGGGGGAAGTCAGGAGCCTCTCTGGGCTATACTTCAAATATCTTCGAATCAGGAAAGTATTCTAGAGAGTTCTACCAATTCTGTTCTGTGCCAGGTTAGAGAAAAAAGACTTAAAACAAAAAGACAAGCATACTTGCCTCCTGCCCAATCCAAACATCTTCAGAACCCAAATTACACAACCAGGCAATAAATGGTGAGGTGCTGAAGAGGGGCCACAGAGAGTGAGCCTCCTTCTTCTATTGGGTAGCATCTCTCCTGACTAGGCTTATGGGTAGGCAGAGGAGCGCCTGCCTGCACTCCCGTGTAGCTCCCATACTCCCCTGGACTGCCAGTGCTCCAGCAAGAGCCTGTGCTTATGTGTTGTCCCAGGTCCTGCTATGCCAAGAAGGCTGGACTTGCATGGCCTCCCCTAGATGCTAGGAGATCTGTGTAGGTAAAATAAGATATTTATGGAAAATAAGACCGTCTGTACAACAGTGAGAAATTATAGGGACTGTAAACTGGGAGGACACCACCTAACGTCAATTCCTGTGCAATTTGTGCTTAGACAGTCAAAGATCTCTGAACACATGCATACATATGTGTATATTCATATTTAACACACACACACATATATACACACACACACACACACACACACACGTGCGCGCGCATGTATGTAATCCTAGGGATTTGTAAAGTTTTTCACCAGCCCTAGGAAATTACATTCACAAGTTCTAATTCCAAGAGCACTACCAGCATCGTAGGGCCAGGCTAGATTTGCAAATAGCTGTGAACTAGGATCTGACTTCCTAACACAGACCAGATGAAGGAGACTCTAAAGAAGCTGGGTAATGAGGGCTGCTAAAGCCTGCTGTCTCCACCATCAGACGTCCCCTCCCTTACTGAGGGGCCCCATCTTAGACACCAAAAAAGGACAAGTGAGGTTGAAAGCTTTTATGTCTGAAGCCATGCCTTGTTCCTGATCTTCAGATCAAGAACCACTGTGGACTGGTTACAGCTCAGGTCAAGTTTTCTTTGGCACCCTGCATCCCACCGCTTACCCTCTGTTCCCATTCCAAGCCTCCTCCTCCGGCAGCCAGCCAAACAGCTCTGTTGAACTCAACAAAACTTAGAGGGCACTGTGCAGCTTGGCACTGTACTCAGAGAGACAGTCATCCTGGTAACATGTCTGTTGCAAGCTCTCTGACCTTGGGCTTCCAGAGGGACTGTGTTCTTGCTCCATTTTATAGAAATAGTGTAAGAAAATGATGATGGGGCTATCTCACATGGCTGAAACAATGCTAGGACAGTCAAGGACCCGCATGTCTGTCCAACTCAGGTTGTTTATTTATTTGTTATTATTTAAGACAGGGATGTACTGTGCAGCCTAGGCTGGTCTGTTGGTGCTCCTGCTTCAACTTTCTGAGTTCTGGGGTTATAGGCATGTATCGCCACAGCCTGTATTTTTAAAGGCAGGTGTCTTCTGGGGCTGTGGGCATGCACTGCCACAGCCCACAGTTTTGAAGCCAGGCATGCTTCATTTTACCTTCTGAGATGGGGAGGGGGCCTTCAGCAGTGATCACGGTTCTAGGTGACTTTTTCAGTTACACTAGCTCTTCTTTGTCTGTGGCTTCGATTCCCACACTTGAGTTGCCAACTATCAGCTGTAATCTGAAAATTCTAAAGGACAAATTTCAGAAGTAAATATTTGTCAGTTGTATTATAGTACAATTGTGTTATTTTATTTCTATATATTGCTGTTAATGGTTTATTGTATCTAACTGATAGGTTAGGCTTTACCATAGACATGTACATGTTGGGAAAGCAGTGTTCACAGATGTTGGGAAAGCAGTATTCACAGGTCTTAGTACTCTCTGGCCATTGGCATCCTCTAGAGATCCTAGACAAAGTAGGGCTAGTGCAGTCCCAATTGTATTTGATGATAGCAACTTAATTTCTGTTTTTGTTAACATCTAGTTTGTCAGGGACTGTGGCAGCATTGGGAGCTGAGCATTCTGGGGGCTCTTGGCTGAGCCAGGCAGCTGGACTTGTGGAAGGACACAGACCCAGGTCTTTATGTAGGACTCAGTCTGTGGGAGTTAGAGCCAGGGACACCAAGGAGGTCAGGAACACAAGAACTCAGAAAGACATAAACCATGAGGCACAGAATCAAATGGGTAAGATAAGGGAAGGAGAAAATATTTGCTAGGCCTTGGTTGGTGGAACATCTCACTCCACAGACTATGTACACTTCATTTAATCATAACAACTCAGAGAACTGGACCTTGTTACCTCGATGTTCAGATGAGCAGCAGGTGTGAAATGCAGCCTGTGCAGCAGAGCCTAGCCCAAGGTGAGGCAGCAGGCATGGCTCCTCCCAGCCCATCCTCCCAACTCATCCTCCCACCCAGACCATCCTCCCTCCCAGATTGTGCTCCAGTCCAACCTCCCAGACCATCCTCTCAACCCATCCTCCCTCCCAGACCGTCCTCCCTCCCAGACCATCCTCCCAACTCATCCTCCCCTCCAGAACATCCTCCCTCCCAGATCGTCCTCTAGTCCATCCTCCCAGCCAATCCTCCAGACCATTCTCCCTCCCAGCCTATCCTCCCAGACCATCCTCCCAGATCATCCAGCCCATCCTCCCAGTCCATCCTCCCAGTCGATCCTCCCAGTCCATCCTCCCAGTCCATCCACCCAGGTCATCCTCCCAGTCCATCCTCCCAGTCCATCTTCCCAGTCCATCCTCCCAGATAATCCAGCCCATCCTCTAGCCCATCTTCTAGCCCATCCTCCCAGCTCATCCTCCCAGCCCATCCTCCCAGCTCATCCTCCCAGCCCATCCTCCCAGTCCATCCTCTAGCCCATCCTCCCAGCGTTGGTCTCCAGGCCAGTAAATACTCTTTTCCTTTTGCCTCAGCTTTCCAGTTACTACCTTGACAATTAAACAACAACAACTCTATGAAATAGATTATATCTACACATGACTATATACTTACTATGCATATTACTGAAAGAAATAAATACTTTTGGACCCATCTTCCACCAGCTGAAGGGACAGAATGCTTTAATGCTAACTGAAGCCCATGGCTACCTCCCTTGTCTCAACCTTCACCCTTCCTACCCTCAGAGGTAACTATAGTGTTGAAATGTGTGCCCCGTCTACTTTGCCCTTGAATGTCTGTCGTCTTTGAATAAGAAAGATCCCCACAAACTCATATATTTTAATGCTTAGTCATCAGGGACTGGACCTGTTTGAAAGGATTTTAAAGATTAAGAGGTGTGGCCTTGTTGGAGGAACTGTGTCACTGAGGGTGGGCTTTGAGGTTTCAAAAGCCCATGCCAGGCTCAGGCCAGGCCCATGCCAGGCCTAGGCCCAGGCCCAGTCTCTCTCTGCTCGCAGATCAGGATGCAGCTCTGAGCTCCAGTGCCAAGTGAGCCACCATACTCTGTCACGATGACAGTGGACTAACCCTCTGAAACTATAGGCCAGCCCCAGTTAAGTGCTTTGCTTTATAAGAGCTGCTGTGGTCATGGTATCTCTTTGCAGCAATAGAACAGTGACTAAGACACCTGTGAGGAATGGCCTCAGTCATGCCATACCCTCAGCCCTTCAACCTTCTAATGTTTCTCAGACTTCCCCTTAATTACTTCACTGACATTTTAATCCCATGAGTAACTGTTTTTGTTGCATACCTACCCCTGTGCTTTATGTATGAGAATAATACTGTTTTGTCCCTCCAAAACTGTTCTTTTGTGTGTGGTTTGTGGATACTACTGCTGTCATTATGAGTGGGTAGTATAGTCCAGTTTATTTTATAGGACCCACTTAGTAAACATTTCTCATGGGCAGAGAGGGGGTTCTGCAGGCGAAGGCTCTTGTCACCAATCTGATAACATGAGAAACCAATGACTTCCTCAAATTGTCCTTTCAGCTCTGTATACATGCCACACCACACACCCTGAATAACAAAGGAATAAACAAACAAAAAACAAATAAACAAACAAATAAATGTAGGCTCAACATTGTTTGGCATTTGCCGCATCACCTCTATCTCTGTCTCTTGTTTCTACATCTATATCGTGTATGCTTCATTATCCTCTTTCTTCTTTGTAGAGATCCATTTTATTTTTTTCTATGTTTAAGAAAACTAGATTTCTAGGACCACTCATTGAAAGCCTACTAACTCCTATAAGCCACTATCTCCCATAGCTACCACCACCTATAGTCACCACCACCTACAGTCAGCTCTAGTGCCTCCTCTGTCATGTGTGTGCAGGGGTGCTCTGTTCTGCCTTCTCCCTTCTGTTCTATCGTGTGCTACTTCATCCCTGCACTAATAACAAAGTTATCATTTCTACTGCTGAGTGCGTTTCTTTTGTTGTGGTAGTATTCCTTCTTGTATCTACCAGAACGCAAACAGAACAGTGGATTCTGGGTTACAAAAGAATATTTGTTTAACACCTGCTTTTTAAGTCTTTGTCCACCAGCTCAACAACAACAACAACAATAACAACAAACCACCCAGATGCTACTAATGATGAGTTTTGATACTTAGTAAGCTAAGCCTCTCTTCTTTAGAAGCATCACCTCTATCTTCTGCTCTTGGCTGTTTCCTGACAGTTTTTGTCATGGTTAGTCAGATTCCAAAAGAGAACATCATGTGTAAGCAGCAAGGGCAGGGGAAGGCAGCGACAGACAGAGCGGTGAGAGGGAGGCCATGTGGGGCAGGCATGGCTGAAGTCCAAGGATCAAGAGCTGGGGAGCCAGAATACGGCAGCCCTTTAGAGAGGCATTCACTCAGTGTCAGAGCATGGGGCTGTCTCCATGTGTCAGTGACTCTGTGTCACTGAGCCTGTGGTGGGGAGATTTGTTAAAAACTAGAACCTCTCACTCTGAAAGAGCTGAAGCTAAATAACTTAACTGTTGAATTCAGCTCTGGGCTAAGAAGATGAGTGAAAAAGGAAAAGCAAGACTAGAATTTGGGGTTCAGACTCACTGTGATCAATTATTCCTGCAAGGGGACAAACCTAGTTGGATCAGTAACTTCCTAAGAGGCTCTAGTATCAACCCATGCCCCTGGGATGTATTTTTTTTATTTAAGCTAATGGTTATCGAGCATTTGCTATGAAGCTGCCTCTCTCCTAAGCATGTTTCTTAGGGACCCCTCAAAATCCAAACTGACTCCAAGTATGAGTTCAATCAATGACTGAGCAGTTGGCATTTTCCTATGAGGAAGAGACTGCTGAGAAAAGGCAGAGAAGTCCCTTTACATACAGAGTTCAGACAACCAGTCCTGAAACTGGGTTTTGGTACTTTTTCCTAATGGATCTTACTTATCTAACCCAAATGAAAAAGATGCAAACCAGGGGTTATCAGACGGTACCATGGAAAACAAGGGCAGACAAGATGCTGACTGTATCCTCTGTGAAGACAGGCAGGCAAGAAGGAGGGGCAGGAAGATGGATATCTACCCTCCACACCTAGGGTTGCCATTATGTGCTCTGTTGAGGCCGCATGAACAAAGGTTTGGCCCCCTGCTCGGGACCAGGAAGTCCTTGGTGTCAGATGCCAAGTACTGGCATCAAGGATTTTCCAACAAGGAAGGCAGCCGCCTGAAATCCTTTGTGAAGCAAGACAGGTTATAAATAGACCTATAAATTTTTGTAAGCAAAAGGCAACAGGCTTAGCAGAGCTGCTCCTCCCTTTGGTTCTCCCTGCACGCCTTGCCTATCAAATCTCTGCTGCCAGGCAGGGCCGTCTGCCTACTAGCCAATCCGCTGCTCCAGGGAGCAACCAGGGTAGAAACTAGCTTCTATGACAACCTCAGGTTGTGACCTTGCTTGTAGAAAAGAATAAATCTTCCTAACTTATCTCTGGCTAATTGGGCAGGAGGTAAGGGAGACAGAATGCAGTGTATCCTCTCTAACTGGCTGGCTACGGTATGAATCCATCCCTTGCAGAGGCAGCCTTAGCTTAGCAACAGACTAGGGAGAAAGGCTGTGTGCTGAGACCTGCTCAGGGGTGTCAGTATGTTCCGGAGCAGGGGTGGGGCCTTTCATCTATCCTAGTAGATACAGAGGCGTCTGGGCATACAGATGTAGAATTATTTAGGACATCGAATCTCAGACTTTGCTGGGCTCAGAACCACCTGGAAACTCATTAAAGCACAGGTTTCCAGGGGTCACTCTCAGTGTTTCTGATCTGCTAGAACTAAGGTAGGACCTAAGGACTTACATTTCCCATAAGTCTCCCCCCCCCCCCCCAGATAACTGGTAATGCCAGTTTGAGGATGCTTTGAAAACCTTTAGTTTAGCTCAACTTCATGATTTTCACAAACAAGGAAAACAGACCCCCAACAGTTAATAAAAAGACATGTCTAGGAGTCCCAAACTGGTGACTGGCTTTAGCCAGAGCAGCCAAGAGATCTCTGGACTCTCGTTTTGGTATTTCCTCTACCACCTCAGGCTGGCAGAAGACCAGAATTAAAATAGTGAGATGCTACTTTAATTGTAAATATATTGCCCTTTATGACCAAGGATGGCCAGTCTCATATGCTGGTTCTTCTTCCTCTATTTTCCCTAGTCCAACACAGGCTCTGTGGGCTCAGCACATAAATAGCCCTCTCTGGCTCATCATCCACTATCCAATAGGGCGGAGAGTCAGACAGTTGCCATAGCTGGTGTCTGTTTTGAAGAACTTTGCATCTATTTTACTGCCCTGCTAATCCTTGTTAGTCAATGAACCTGAGATCTGCGGGCTCTTGCGCTGACCACTGAGTATGCCGATCAGCTCTGAGATATAACTTTTTCTACAGCCTCCATGGGCTTTGGCCTTGGTGCCTGATGTTCTGCTTTATTGCTCCACTTCTCTTGAAGCTAGAATTCTACTCTGAATGCTCACCTATGTGGGGGTGTGGTGTGGTATGGTGTGGTATGGTGTGGTATGGTGTGGTATGGTGTGGTATGGTGTGGTGTGGTGTGGTGTGGTATGGTGTGGTGTGGTATGGT